TTAATGGACATGAATAAACACGATTCACTACAGCTCTCCCCCTTAACTTAACGAAGGCAATGGACGAACCTTCTCTTCCAGTAGGATTTTGTGAAAGGTTGTTCGTAAGACAGGTGGCGGGGTTTTGAGTCAGGCGATGGTCAGGGTATGAGAAAAGGTGTCAGGCAGTGTAACGATCAGGCCAATGAACGCGCCTACCATACCATAAAGTGTACTGGTAATCGTTTCTTTATTGTCAGAAGGGAGTTGGCTGCACCTTGGGTGTGTTGCTCAGCGACGTCTCTGCATCGATAGATGCGGCACCTTCTTTTCCACTTCGTTCGACGATGAAAACCTGTTCTTCTCGTCTAAGTATTGTGAAAGGTCCATCGTGGGTGGGTTGGAGAGCACGACGAATGGCATCGTGCCTGATAAAAACATGAGTGCAAGAGGACAGTGTTCTTGGGATGCAGACTGAAGTGGAGGATCAGCGAGGTTGAATTGACATAAGTTTGCTCATTGTCTTCCACACATTGTCAACGTAGGTGCATGTGTTCGGCCATAAATTTGGAGATGTTGCCGTAGATAACTCCCCAGGAATTCTAAATCTTGTTCGAAAAACTATTTTTGCAGAGGAACCACCAAAGTCTTCCTTTGCTGCTTACCTAATACCGAGTAGCCCGAGGGTAACACGTCCGACCAACGAGATGGGTCACTGCCAACAATTAAAGCGCCTTTCAACTGCCGGTGAAATCGCTCTACCGTGCCATTTGACTGAGGGTGGTAGGCAGTTGTTCGAATGCGGTTCGTCCTCAGAGATCATGTGAGATATTGGAACAGGCCTGATTCGAACTGAGTTCCTCGATCTGTGGTGTTGGTGGAGGGGACTGAAAATAAGGCGGGACAATAGATATGTCAGCTCCTGAGTCGATAAAATATGGCATGCAAGTTGACTTGTCCGGTGGAAAAGGCGGCGGTTTAAGTGCTCACTAACAGTCGACGCCTCTACTGCCGGGCATTCTCGTTTCCCGACTGTGCGAGAGAGACTAAAGTAGCGTACCATCACGGGGCCTGCAGTGTCGGGCGGCGCGGCCGAAGTTTGCCTGATACCAACACAAAGATCATGACAAAGAAAGTGGAACGGATCTTCAGCGAGAATGTGAGCGGTTCCGTCTGAATGAGGTGTTGCAGCTTCTCCCTCGTGAACCGCTGATTGTCAAGGCGTCGATTGCTGCTTCGATCCTGGCTAAGCGGCTCTCCAGGGCGGCAGGTGCTTGGCACGCGGCCACGGGCATTACAACCATTCGATTGTCTTTGCCACAACAGGTAGCACTGAATGTCCGTTTTCGGTCCAAAGGCCTAAAGATTGGTTAAAGCTCTGTGTTGAAGAAATCTGACCAGGGACATACAACAGATACGCCAATTTTTTTAGTGTGAATGCTCTCTGTGTTGGACTTGAGCTGCACTAGTGTGTTTGAGGAGTGGCATGAAAACGTGAGTGAATGAGAACGGAACATAAGAGCATAAGAATTGTCGAAAGATGAACAAGGCTACTCTGAATTCTGTTTGTTCGCATCCTTTATCATCCAATCCATGCTGTCGCCATTCTAGAGCCTCAGGTTTGAGTCATATCAGGCACGACCGTTTACTAGAAAGCTCAAGCAAACCTTCTTTCAGACCAAACAAATCTAATTTCAACTTAAATTAGGCTTTGACACATTTTCTAATATAGACTTACTTTAACGAAATGCACAACCTGACAGACGCATTTTTGAGCAAATGCGATCTTACAGGTG